CATAATTCAGAGTGTGACCTTACTAGTAATGTTGTGGTTACGTTCCTGATGGATCAAGCAAACCAAAAATAAGTGAGGACCTAGACAAATATATGGAGGTAATTGACAAAGGTGATTTAATCGATAAAGAAAAAAACATATACCCTACAGGTAAAATATATACATATTCCTTTCACTGTCCATTGGCCATTTTCAAAAAAAAAGTGATTAGGAGCTAGGCTCAGAGGCAATCTCAATAGATACCAGTAAAACATGACATCAAGTAAAGGTCACGTATTCCACCACTGAAAATTTCTAAACTTGTGTTGGGGTCCAGGGGCTTACTGAAAACAATATATGACAACAAGTTGGGAGTAGGGAGACATTTGCAACATATATGACAGGTTATATATCCCAATATGTGAACAACTCTTACAAATAAGTAAGAAAAAGATAAATCTGAATTTAAAAAATGGGCCCAGTACATGAAAAGGCCACACACACACATACACACACACATACATACACATATACACACTACAAATAGCCAATAAACATGTATAGCATTTTGACTTCTTTAATAATCATAGAAATCTATAGTAAACGAGTATATGCGTAGAGTAGCTAAAATAAAAATGTTGTCAGTGTTCAGTATTGACAAATGGTAAGAATTGGCAGCTCAGTCATTGTTCATGTTCTTGGTAAATGTAACTTGGTACAAGCTCTTTGGAGGGCAACTTGGCAATAAGTGTTAATTTTTAAAATTTGCTTTGTCCAGGCAAATCTTACTCTAGAAATTTATCCTAAGGAGATAATTGGACAAGCATGCAAAATACACAAATATGCATTTTATAGAAGCATTATTTACAACAGTGAAAGGTAGAAACAACCTCCAAAGCTTTCCGTAATTAGAGATTGTCTTTATTCATTAAAAATGACAGTGCTTCACCATATGGGAAGGTAGCAATTAAATTGTTATAAGAAGAAAAGACAGCAGGTTTATTATGATTTTATAATTATTTTTAAAAGAAAGAAAAGCGAGTGTGTATGTAGGTGTGTGCAGAAGAAAATCTAAAAGTATTTACACCAGGATTTTAGCAGCAGTCATGTCTACATAGTAGAATTACAAATTTTTACTTATAAAAATGCTTCTATATTGTCAGATTGTTTTTTCCAAAAAAAGGTAAAATTTATATAATCCATTAAAATTATATGGTCATTTCTGTTATGAGACTATAATACTGTAGAAATAACAAATGTGTTCAAAATGATACCATTAATCACAATATCAACAAGTTTTTCTGTCAACTCTAGAAATATTTCTTTAATGATTACAAGAACAAAACCCCCAAAAATATGATATTAGAGAGGCTTAGGTTTATTCACATGTTCTTCTGCAGATGAACCTCCTGAATGGGATCAAACCAAAAACAGCTTTTGTTGCTCTGATGTTTCTCTGGAAATGAGCTCTGCATTCTCCCACTGCTTCGGTTATGTGTATCTGCCTTTCGTGTAAAAGAGCCTTTATTCTGGAGATGGGAAGGAGGCTCTGGGGAAATGCAGTGATTTGATTTTTTTTAAGTGAGGATAACCTCAAACTCTTGTCTGTGTTCATTACAGCATTTAAGTAACTGCAGCTTTGTAAAAGCTGCCTTCACCCCAATTGAGAGACCTCTCTCATATGCCCATTGCACTTAACATTCTTTAAGTGCCCTTCACAGGCATGCCATTGGCGACATAAGGGAAAGGATATCAAAGTAGGAATAAGAAGGTGTAGTTTCTAGCAGTAATTGTGTGACCCTGGAGCCAGCAACTCATCTTCTTAGCTTCTCCATAACACAATGTTCAGGATCTCTGATGTCTTCCAAATGGTGTTGACTCAAAGATCAAACAAGATAATCCAGCTGTTGGAATATCGTGATGCCCTACACCAACACTGGGTGCTTCTGTGAGGTACTCAGGCTGTGAGTGCTTTAGGGGATGCGGAGATGAATGAGACATGATCTCTCCATGTGCAGAGGCTTCCAACCTGGTCAGGAAAACAGCCTCAGCAATACATGAGACTAAGCAAGAGCGAGGGAAGCAACGCAGCTGTACTGTGGACTACGAATAGAAAGAACTGTGGAGACTCGAGTTACATTATGGTGTCACCCACCTTACCAGGTCATAATAGAGAGCCTACTCGCCTCCTTGGAGGTGGGAATGAAAAAGCACTGGACCTCATGGAAAGAGATCCCCATTCTCTCATTAGATCCTGTAATTCATGCAGGAGCTTTTTTTATTGTTCCTTATTTTTTTTTATCTTGCAAATCAACATGAATAAAACTACGCCTCATGATTCCCAAAGCATTCTGTCTCCAGAATTTCTATCCCAAAGGCAGATATGCACTATTCTTTTCTATTTCTATGATTATAAAACAGAAGAACTCAACTTCATTTTTGCCTTTATAAACATACCTTAGACCAGCAGCATAGAGGAACAGTTTTATAAATTTAAAAATGGCATTCTGTGAAATTCTCTCCCCTAAAACTCCTGCTGAGTTTTCTGTATGAACACCAGAGAATTCAGAATTCAAAAAATAGACCTAACATCACTGGCTCTCAGCCAGTCTTAAATAAATCGTAAGCAGCCAAGTGAGCTTGTGCTAGCAATGGTCAAGAATTGAAGGCAGAGGCATCTGTGCTTTCTGTGTGTTATTCTGCTTCAGATTAAGACATCAGGGAAGGTATCAGTACCATGAAGTGTGGCAGGTGTAGCAGTTGGACATGCATTCAGCTCTAAGTTACAACAAAAACAGGAAAAGACTGACCATGACATAAACAAAAGGGAAGAGGCTTATTTATCATTTGTAACAAGCAGACCTAGGATATGTGGTGCAGGGCTGGTAAGCAGCTCACCAAGGCTCTCAGGGACCAGGACCTCTCCATCTCTCTCCTCTGCCACCTCATTTAAGAGACCACCATCTTCACGCTTGTTCCTATCTTGTCACAAGATGCCTGCTGCCCTGATGGGGACAAAGGAAAACGTAGGAGCAACAGGCTAATGGGCATGCCAGCCCAGTCCATGTTTATCTTTAATCTTAAGCCTTTAATTGTCCGGTTAAAGGCTTACATTAAAGCTGAATAAGTCAATCCACCTAGCATCCTCCACTCATGTCCCATTGATGAGAACTCATTGGTGGACATAGACCAATCCCTAACAGTGATGGCGAACCTATGACACGCGTGTCAGAGGTGACACGCGAACTCATTTTTTTGGTGGATTTTTCTTTGTTAAATGGCATATATATATAAAGTAAATCAACATGGCCGAGACCGGTTTGGCTCAGTGGATAGAGCGTCGACTGCGGACTGAAGGGTCCCGGGTTCGATTCCGGTCAAGGGCATGTACCTTGGTTGCGGGCACATCCCCAGTAGGGGGTGTGCAGGAGGCAGCTGATCGATGTTTCTCTCTCATCGATGTTTCTAACTCTCTATCCCTCTCCCTTCCTCTCTGTAAAAAAATCAATAAAAATATATTAAAAGCTCAGGATACCTCATAAAGCACACACTTCTCCTCGGGTTTAAACACTTCCTCTCTTCAACCAAGTTCATGGTTAATTTGTAACCATGCAAAAGTTAGGTGCAGACAATATTTATAAAATACAGCATTTCTATCTGTCTCTTTGTAGAATTTAGAGGACACTACCAGTGGTCAGCAAACTCATTAGTCAACAGAGCCAAATATCAGCAGTACAACGATTGGAATTTCTTTTGAGAGCCAAACTTTTTAAACTTAAACTATATAGGTAGGTACATTGTTATTAACTTAATTAGGGTACTCCTAAGGCTTAGGAAGAGCCACACTCAAGGGGCCAAAGAGCCGCCTGTGGCTCGTGAGCCACAGTTTGCCGACCATCTCAGCAGGGAGGAATTTACAAGGAGCTGATGGTGAAATAATTATTTTTAACCAAATCCAATGAAGCCTAGTTGGCCACCTCTAATTACCTTTCTCATGAAGGGTACTAGAGAGTATTTGACCCTTGAAGGTAAAAGCAGCATTTATTTCTCTCAGGGAGACGTGTTTGAGATTTTTTTTTTGCCTACTTTATTTAGACAAGTTTGCGCCTATACAGTGTAATAGTATTGTTGTTCTATGTTGATTTCTTTTATTTTGTAATAGTGCTAAAATTTGCACATTGACCCATATTATTTACAGTGAAAATGTGTCCCACCACCAAACACAGCCACTGAAAATATTCTGGTGAAGTTTCTTTATGCATAAGTTTGTGGATTTTTTTTAACTTACTTTATCATATGCATGTTGGTTTTATTAATTATGTTCATAAATATTTGAAATACTGGCTATCCCCGTTTACTTCAGCATCCCATTTTCTCTATAGTTTGACATTGAAATGGTTAGCAATTACTATATCCAGCAAACAAGCAATACTCATCATATTTTATAAAACTGACTTTGAATTTAGGATGATTTCCTAGGATAGATTTCAAGAAGTGAGCTTGATGAGTCAAAGGATTTATATTCATGAGCAATACGTGAGTGAGTTGAGTACCCATTTTCAAGTACATTTGACAACTCTAGGTATTAACTTTTAAAATATATGTATTGTGCATGACCGGCACGGCTCAGTGGTTGAGCATTGACCTATGAGTCAGGAGGTCACAGTTCAATTCCTGGTCACGGCACGTGCCCAGATTGTGAGCTCAGTCCCCACTGTGGGGTGTGCAGGAGGCAGCCGGTTATGATTCTCTCTCATCATTGATGTTTCTATCTCTCTCCCTCTCCTTTCCTCTCTGAAATCAATAAAAATATACTTAGAAATATATATGTGTGTACATATATATTATTGCATTTTTTATATGTAGATTGTTTTAAATTACATTTATTAGGCTTACTGAAAGCCATTCTAGAATGTGCGTGGTTTAAATAAGTAAAATGAATCTATTTGGGTGTATCATATGAAGTGAAGAGCTTAATTTTTCCCTGTTTTAAATTTTCTGATTTCCATCTTGTCTTTCAGTTTTACAGGAGATTCTAAACTTGCCTCAAGCATGCGTTATGTGGAAACCCAATCAATGCAGATAGGAGCATCCTATATGATTCAGTTCAGTTTGGTCATGGGCTGTGGCCAGAAATACACTCCACACATGGACAACCAGGTGAAACTGGAGTATTCAACCAACCATGGCCTCACCTGGCACCTTGTCCAAGAAGTAAGCCTATTTTTTCTAAAGCTCGTGATAGACAGGTAGCCTCTTGCTTTTTGCATGGGAAGCAAAGAATTACAATTCTAAAAGCTTAGGTTCGGTTGAAAAGGAACGATGTTATTTTTAACAGAATTGACATAAAGTCAGCAGCAAATGATAAGGAGGCCACATTCTGCACTGCCAGATACTAAAGGGTAATTGCAAAAGAAGTGGGAGTAACTTTAGGACTGGTTATTCTAGCATGGTGTTTTGAATATTATTTTCTCTAACCCTCCCTCTATAAACATGTCTTTTCTTCTTTCTCTATAGCATGTCTTTATCTGTTTTTAAGTCTCTTTACCTATAGGTAGACCTTACTAAGAATATGTTATCTCTTGCCTTTAAACACAAAAATGAAATACGTAGATTCAGTTTCTTAGAATAAAATGTACTTCTTTATATACTAGAGGCCCAATGCACGAATTTGTGCACCAGTTGGGTCCCTCGACCTGGCCTGTAGGATCGGGCTGAAACCAGCTCTCCAACATCCCCTGAGGGGTCCAGGATTTTGAGAGGGCACAGGCCAGGCTGAGGGACCCCACCAGTGTACGATTGGAGCAGGGAAGGGACGCGGGAGGTTGGCCAGCCAGGGAGGGACCGCGGGAGGGCTCCAGGGCCTGTCTGGCCCATCTTGCTCAGTCCCGATCGGCCGGACCCCAGCAGCAAGCTAACCTACCAGTTGGAGTGTCTGCCCCCTGTTGGTCAGTGCACATCATAGCGACTGGTCAACCGGCCGACTGCTCCCTTATATTATGGTCTGATTGGTTGAATGGCCGACTGGACACTTAGCATATTGGGCTTTTATTATATAGGATACATACTTAAAATCTGACATTGGTATAAATGCATAAATGTCATAGTGAATAGAATAATTTTTCCAAATGTCAGTTTTATGATAAAAAGTCAAAAAATGGATCCTATTCGATTTCTATTTTTACATGTGAGATTTGGAAGGCATTTAATTCCATTGTGCCATCTCATTTCAATTATTGCCCATATATTTTAGCTTCACAAAAGGGAAAATCAGGGATTTCATCCATAATGTAAATGGTTAATATTATGATGTTAGGTTTCTCCCAGTTCTTTTTCACTTGTGCCTGACTCTCTTTTAGGAATGCCTCCCAGGTATGCCAAGTTGTCAGGAATTTACATCAGCAAGTATCTACCATGCCAGTGAGTTCACACAGTGGAGAAGAGTCGTCGTGCTCCTTCCCCAGAAAACCTGGTGAGAGACGTTTTTAGACATGGTTGTCACATTAACTTTTACTGTCTCTGTTCGTATGACTTGAATATGAAGAAAAGTTGAACACAATGGCAAGATGCATGAAAATTTGGTTTTTGAACTATCCTAGCTTTTTCTGACCCACCTTTTTACCCCAGCTTTTTTTTTATGGTGGAACTCAATGAGCCCATTCCTTTTTGTTTGACATGATGCAAGAATCAAAAAACTTCTGTGTCAAGATAGTTTGGGTTTGCGAGGCTGTTTTCTTGTTGTAAAGCCCTACTTTTTATTTCAAAAGCTTAACATACTTTTTTTTTTCTATTCACATTCTTTCCGTAACAATACAAATCATGTCCTAGGAAGCAGAATCCTAAGTAACTAGGGAGAAAGTTAAACTTTATCTTTTATGTATCCCCATAACGAAGTCTAGTGGCACTTGAAAATAAATGTTCTTTGTTCAAATCTTAGTCTGGCTTCACCCATTAGTGCAAATCAGTTAAACCTGAAAAAGGAGTGAAACCTAAGTGAGTGATCAGCTGTCAAAGTGTGTATACATTTTTTTGCAACACCCTATATTAATGCTCAATTGCCGTGTTGCACAACCCCTGCAGCTAACATAATATTTTATGCCAACTATAACTTTTTAAAAAGAGTTTTATTTTTGTGATGTGAAGTTTGAGATGCTTATCTATCCAAGCAGAACTGTTAAGTCAAATGAACTTAGGAATGTAGAGCTCAGAAACAAGGCTTGGGCTGAAGAGTTGAATGTTATGCTTACTATTTAAAGCGCTGGGTCAGGATGAGCTCACCCAAGAAAGAGCTTTGGACTAGAAATTAGAGCCCTGAGTCCTCAGTATGTCCCTGCCAATGACCGATTAACCATGATTTTAACTGTTCAAAACCTCTTCAAACTTGATTCCTTATGAGTGTAATGAAGATGTTTAATTAGTTGATCTTAAAGGTCCCTCACAGTTCGAAGCTTCAAGATTCTGTGATTTGTGTAACAGAAAAAGCATAAAAGAGATAGGAATTCTATTTTTTGATGGTATCTGCCTTCCCAGAGTCCTTTTGTAAAGAGGAAATTGCTAAATCAACCCTTCTTAGATTATTTTATATAAAAGTTAGGCTCTACACACAAAAATTGATTAGATGATAACCTAGAATTATTATACCTCCTTTAGTTGAAAATTGAATTACTGCATTTTATAAGAATGCCTTCATGATGATTTTTTAAGATTCATCATTATATCAGTGGGATGCTTGAAATTTGATTTCCACAGATTTCTTTATATCCAACTGTGAGCCATTTTCTGTGTACTCTATTCATGCTTTGCATAACAAGTCACCTCTTTCTCTAACATCCTACTTTTTCACATCTACTGCTGGGAATATAATCAAGACGTATTTCATTTCAATGCTATTCCAAGTATATCTATCAAGATACAAAAACAACACATTAAATAATTGAAATACTGGTCAAACTTGGTACTAATCTACAAATGTTTATTCTTTTTATTATTTCACCATTAAGTATATTGTCCTCAGTATTTTAACAAAAAACACTGATTTTTGTTCATTGACATGTGGGCTGCAATTTCAAAATTATGCTGGTACGATAATATTAATAGTGTATTTTAGAGATGTCTTTTCATTTCCCAAAACATTATAAACTGTTATTTTTTTAATTAAATGTACTGGGGTGACATTGGTTAATAAAATTATATAGGTTCTAAGTGTACAATTCTGATACATCATCTGTATATTGCATTGTGTGTTCATCACCATGTATTTGAACCCCTTTACCGATTCTACCTCCTCCAACCCCCCTTTATCTCTGGTACCACCATACTATTATCTGTATCTATGAGTTTTTGTTTGTCTTGTTTATTCATTTGTTACTTTTAGTTTTACATCCCACATGAGTGAAATCATATAGATCTTGACTTTTTCTGTCTGATTTATTTCACTTGGCATGATATTTTCAACATCTGTCCATGTTGTCACAGATGTCAGTATTACATCGTTTCTTAAGGCTGAGTAGTATTCCATAAAGAATCTCCTTTACCTACTCATATATTGAAGGACACGTAGGTTATTTCCATGTCTTGGTCATCAGGAATAACACTGTAGTGAACATAGGGGTACATGTATCTTTACTAATTAATATCTGCAAATTTGGGGGGTAGATACCCAGAGAGGGATTGTTAGGTCATATGGTAACTCTATTCTTAATTGGTTTTTTGTATTCTGTTTTTAAATTTTTTTTATTAAATTTATTGGGGCAATATTGATTAATCAAATTATAAAGATTTCAAGTGTATAGTTCTATAATACATCATCTGTAGATTTTATTGTGTGTTCACCACCCAAAGTCAAGTCTCCTTCCATCACTTGTCCATTTCTTTTAGGTTAGTGAATTTTGTGGCATATAGTCTTTCATAGTACTGTAGTGTGATCCTTTTTTTATATATGATGAGTACGGTAACCTCTCCTCTTTCATTTCTGATTTTGTTTATATGAGTCTTTTCTCTTTTTTTCCTCCTCTAGCCAGAGGTTTGTCAGTTTTATTAATCTTTTCAAACAATCAGCTCTTTTTATTAATTTTTTGTTGTCTTTTTGTTCTCTATTTTATTTAATTATTCTCTAATTTTTTTTATTTCTTTCCTTCTGCTTACTTTGGGCTGCAATTATTCTCTTCCTAGTTCTTGAAGAAGTAATGTTAGGTTCTTTATTGGGGATTTTTATTGTTTCTTGAGATAGACATATGTCACATTGTCATTCTCTTCTCTGTATGTATTTTTATCTCCCCTTTTATTTCTTTATTGACACAGTTGTTGTTTAGTAGCATGTTGTTTACTTTCCACATATTTGTAGTTTTTCCTAGAAAAGTCTTTATTTTTCCTTCATATCTAAAGGATAAATCTGCTGGATTTATTAACCTTGGCTGGTAACTACTTTTTATCAATTATTTGAATATTTAATTCCACTCCATAAGCTTATAGAGTTTCTGCTGAAAAATCCAATGATAATCTAATGGGATTTCCTGTATATGTTACCATCTTCTTTTTCCTGGCTGCCTTGAGAATTCCTTCTTTGAGTTAATTTTTGACAATTTTAATACAATGTGTGTTCTAGAGAAGGCCTTTGGGGATTGAGATAATTAGGTGTTCTGTTTGTTTCTTGGATTCAAGGATCCAGCTCTTTCTGTTAATTTGTGACCTTCTTGTCAACTATTTATTTGAATAGACTGTTTCCTTCTCTCTTCTCCTTCAGGTATACCCATTATTCTTATATTTCTCTCTCTTGTGGAGTTATATAGTTCTCTGGCTAATAGAGTTCTTTCATTTTTATTGCTCTCAAATATTTCTCTTCTTCCATCTATATCATTTCTATATTTCTATCTTTAATATCTCTAATTTTCTCCTCCTTCTGATCAGCTCTGTTTCCTAAACTCACTAGTTCATTCTTCATCTCTTTTATTGAGTTCTTGAGCTCCAGAATTTCTATTTGTTTGTTGTAAAAGTTTCAGTCTATTTGGTAAAGTACTCCTTTTGATCATTGATTTTCTTTCTGGGTTCATTATACTATTTCTCTGTTTTCTTGTATCTCGTTGTGTTTTTTCAGAACTGCAATCTTTAATTCTGTCATTATGTCCATGTCTTTAAGTTTATTTTCTGGAGATTTTTATTTTCTTTCTAAGCTGCCTCATTACCTTTGTTATTCTCCTGTAAGTGTTCTGACTGGGAATCGAACCCATCACATCTGAGTGCATGGGATGCCAGGACTGCAAAGTTGACTGGGTATCTATGGGAATGAAATACACTTTTTTTTGTAAGAGAGGCACTTCTCTAGTAGGTTGATAAGAATAAGCCGTTTGTTTGTTTGTTTACCAGAAGGTGGCACTGAAGTGCAGCTTTTTAGTTTCTATTGCACTGTTCTGGCTTCTGGGGTCTCTGGTAGGCAGTGGAAAATGCCCTGTGTTCCCTGAGGTAGTGGGCATCTCCTCTATGACCAGTTCACCTCAGTGTCAGGGCACCAACCCCGTGGAGGAATGTGATGGGTAATGGGATTCCAATCTCAGTGCTCTGCAACCAGAAGCTGCTGGCAGTGCAGCCAAGGGTGGGTTGGAGTAAAGTGAGCTGTAAGGGGCCAGCTGCTGCATTCATGGCTTTGTTCTCCTCCCAGCAATGACCACTGCTAGACCTTTGCTGCTGCACCTGTATCTCCATCCGTCACAGGGTGTGCCCCCCACTCAGGGGAAATGCTTCTGCCTCTCCAGTTCTCAGGACTGCAGATAATATCCTCTGTAGCCTGGCACCCACTGCTAGCTCTAGGAGGTTGTAGGACCACCAGACAACACCATGGCACCTATGCACTTTCACTGGGCTCAGCTGCAGCACACACCCATCAGTCAGGCAGGAACACTCCCTGTATCTCTGCTCCTTGTGGGGCAGCAGGGAGTGCAGGCAGCAATCTGATTCCTCCCCTCTTTTGAGACTCCCAGTGACCCGTATCTGCTCTTCTCCGTTCCCACCTCCCCTGTTTGCTCTGAGTTGAGCACCTTCAGATGTTTCAGTGCATGGGATCTCTCAGCAGTGTCTGTGTGTGGAGCAGGAATCCTTTGTTGAATTCTAGCTATTCAACTTGTTGCAACTTCAAGAAGAGAGACCAGAGGAACCTCTGATACCACCATTCTTCTGACATCACTCCATAAACTATTATTTTTATTGATGTAATTTAAGCTATTTCCAAAGTATTATTTTTATTTTAAAAAAACACACAAACTTTGCAGCCTTGGTCAGTGTGGCTTAGTTGGTTGGAGCATCGTGCCATGCACACTAAAATGTGGTGGGTTCAATTCCCAGTCAGGGCACATATCTAGGTTGTAGGTTCAATCCCCTGTCACGTACATACAGGAGGCAGCTGATGTCTCTCTCTCTCTCTCTCTCTCTCTCTCTCTCTCTCTCTCTCTCTCTATCCCTCTCTCTCTCTCTCTCTCTCTCTCTCTCTCTCTCTCTCTCTCTCTCTCTCCCTTCTGCTCCCTAAAACCAATTTTGAAAATTTTTTAATTAAAAAAACACCTTTTGTGGAGTATTTTACACTCAGAGTGTATATTACATTGTTATTTCTTAGTTTAAAAAATAGACCACTGAGTTGAAAGTTTTAGAATAGTAGTCAGAAAAGATCAATTCTCATCAATGTTTATTGGACACTTATGAGGAAATATATTAACTGACCCTTAGCTGTTTTGTTCCTACACACTGCCTGCCATGTATTTGGGGTGCTCATTAAAAGTTGGAAAATTAAATAGAATTTAATTCAATATGCCTAAGTGAACTAAAGAGATGTTTTATTACAAAGCATCTCTTTTTGCAAACAGAAAATAAATCTACTATATTATTCCTCTACTAGATAATTGATTCTACTAGATAATTGAATTCTACTAGATAATTGAATTCTGCTTTTCCAAATTTTCTTCAAATCTCTGGGTAAAGAAAGTAAAAATATTTTTTGAAAGCAAGCAACCCTATAGGATATTTATTTTAATATTTCTACTGACTAATACTTACACTAAACATTATTGCCATATTTCAAAAAAAGTTCAACTGGCTATTATAATTTTTTGGATCTATAATGCTTAGAAGTTCTGCTATAAGGATAAAGTACATTTATTCTCCTTGGCTTTCTTGATAATTTTATTTATCATATTCATTTGAAACTTCTGAAAATAGTATGTTTTTCTCAAGCATTGGGGAAAGGGAGTGTAGTTTAGTCTGATGCAGTATTCCTTTTGGCAGATCTTTGTTCTGCTGTTTTGATTCAAGCATATGCAGCTATAAATTGAATGCATACAAGCAACTGTGGTCCCTGCATTATCATAGATTTGTTAACTTCAGAAAATATTCTAGATAGAGCAACTGAGAGTGGAAATATTTAATATGTATACACCTGCTCAGAGAAATTTTATTGTATATGAACTGAGCATTTGTTACCCAATGAAAATTAATTTTGTTTTTATGAGAGACATTTACATAAGAACAGGGCCTAATGAGACAGGAGCAGCTGTCAGTTGCTGACTTCATAAACAAATCAACACCTAATGTCTGAATGAGTTTCAGAATAATTGGATAAATGTAATTGCAGTAACTCTGAAGGTGGAAAATACAATATTTAGTCAGCCCTCGTTTACCTTGATTCCTCGGATTACCTAACTATCAAGAGATGACTCAGAGTTATTTTAGTTCAGTCTAGAAGTTTATATGGGGGGAAATTTAATGAAGGAAAGACTATCAAGTTTTGTTGCTTTGGGGAATCCATAAAGTTTGGTTTTTAAATGTAAGCCAACTTCATTTTGTGATCCACAGAGCAGTAGTTCCACTTTCAGGCTCAATCCAAAGATATTTTTCTCCTAAAAATGTGGCAAAGAGACAGGGAGAGCGGGGGAGAGAGTAAAAAATAAAGAGAGAATTGGTGAATTAAATATTTGTATTGAGGGCAGTTTTTATCAGTGATGCAGCTGCAAATCGGTGACCTCACACCTTGTCTTCTCACATGTGACCAGCTAGAGATTGCTCAGAGGACTATTTCTTTTTTCTCACTAAATATGAAGTCAACATGTGACCTCTTTTGGCTTCCTTTCCTATTAACATCAGCACATTAAACTGTGGGTTGTAATTTTAACTTGAATAATCCATTTTAAGCTTTTTATTTATTTTTTTAAATATGTTTGTATTGACTTTTAGAGAGAGAAGAAGGGAGAGGGAGAGAGAGATAGAAATATCAACATAAATCAGCTGCCTCCTACATGCCCCCTGCTGGGGATCAAGCCTGCAACCCAGACATATGTCCTGACCGGTAATCCAACCCATGACCTCTTAGTGCATGGGTTGACGTTCAACCACTGAGCCACACCAGCTGAGCTTAAGCTTTTTATTTAAGGAAATGTTTTTCTTCAAGAGTTTATAGGACACAGGTAAGGATCAGTTTAATCAGAAAAAGAATTTAGAATGTGTCTACATATGACTATTTAGAAGCATAAATAAACTGGGAAATCTAGGACAGGTTTCTGAAATCCTCCAACCCTATTTTAACATTTGAAATATCAAAACCTCAAAATAATGTATGCTACGGTTTTCATGTTGATATGTGTCTATGAAGAAAATAAACTTGGTCAACAAACCACCAAAGTCATCATTAAATTTTTGAGCTGGAAGGGATCTTAGCGATCAGTTTGTCCAGTTCCTTTATTTGAGTGGTGAGGAATGAGAAGACCCTGAAGGCTTGCATTTCTTACTAAAGGTCACACAGATGATAAATTACAGAGTGAAGGTCCTGGGAGTCAGGTCCCCTAACTCCTAGAACATACTTCACTTCGTTGCCTACAGAAGTCAGAAACAGGCTGCCCTTTCTTGGCCTGTTGCTCTACTCACTTATTCATTTTTTTTTAGCAGACCTTCTTTGTACACCTATTTTTTTTTCTGTTCCTGTGCAAACTATTGAGACAAAAGATAGCTCTCTCCCCAAAAGAGCTCACAGTCTAGTCTCCTGTGGCCCTAGACTTGACTCAGATTATAATGAATCATAAAAGAATATAGTCATCTCTCCTTCTCATGACACTGATGCAAAAGTCTAAATTTACTTCTTTTCTGTAGGGCTCTATGCCCTAAGAATATGTACCTATTTTATAGTAGGTTTTTCTAAAAACCATTTCTTAATGGGATTATGTAAATTGCAATGGTTGTTAGGTTACAAATATAAACTATTTCCATACAGAAGTTGCATTTGTACTGTTGTATCTGTACCATGACGAGCTCTGATATGCAGCAAACCTGTGTGTACTGGGTGCAGCTCAGTGAACCTGGAATTATCCTACTAGGAATGAAAATGCAACCTATTAGCCACAGATCATTGATAAAATAAACAGTAAGGGCTTAGTCTGGATTTTCACAGTCTGTTATGTACTTAGGGAGTATTTAATATGTGGGTAATTGATGCAGGAGACTTTAACGGATTATTCAGGGCCGTTAAGATCAAGTGTATTTGTAGATGGTGTGCTTGGGGAAGGTTTGATCAATGGAACTGAGCATGCACGTTAATTCTGCAGTTTTTTTTCTTTTTTTCACTTTGACCAAAAAGAAGTAATTATGGGTCCCTGAAAATTCTCAGAGGTGAAAAATATGATGCAATTTTAAGAGACTTTTTTTGTGATCATCAAAGAATGAAAACCTTTGACACTGATCTCAAAATATTATCTTATTTAGACTTTATATCCAGTTTAAATGAATTAAGGTCCCAAGTGTTTCTCTAATGGATTGTTCAACTTCTCATCTCCACTTAACATCAGCTTGTCCATGAAACCTAAGCCAGTTAATGTTTCAGAAATAATAAGCAGAATTTAGCACCTAGTTGTTCATACTTGTGCCGACTCTCTATCCACTGAGCCAAACTAGCTAGGGCTATACTTGCAATATAATATATCGTCACATGTCCCCTCAACCCCGAAACAATACCCCCAAGAAAACTTTAGTTTTCTACAAAGAGGTAACTGGAATTCTTCCAATAACTGCTCATGTGTTTAGTATAAGAAATGGTATTACTCTAAGTTAAACACTTCACATTTTCATCTGTAAGAGGGAAGCTGTTTAGTATATATCTTTATTTTTCTTAAATATCTTACTTTATTTCTTTTCCTAGCATCATATCTCTATGTAAATACAACAAAAAAATATGAGCTTTATTTTTTTTGAAATGTCTCCAATTAAAACAAAATGTCTCAAATCAAACTAAGGTATATATAAAATAAGGAGATTTCTTTTTCATTTTCTTTCATGATAAAATTGTTGAATTGAGTGGTAATTGAGTTAAAATTGAACTACGGAAAAATGATTCGCAGCCAAATGCAAGTTTCAGAAAGTTGGTTATCTGAAAGATTTTGAACTTGGATATTTTTTGTCTATACTACTTCATGTCAGTTAAAATACTGTTTTCTATGACTGTCCCATTTCTAGGTCCAGTGCCACCCGCTTCCGCTGGAGTCAGAGCTATTACATAGCCCAGGACGAGTGGGCTTTGGACAACATCTACATCGGCCAGCAGTGCCCAAACATGTGCAGCGGGCATGGCTCCTGTGACCACGGCATGTGCAGGTACACGCATCAGAAAGTGGGACTGAGCTTCTGCTTCCCAGGATTTGTTTTACAGGGACCCTACTGCAGTTGTCATTAGTTATGTGGATAGACTGATAAATAATGAAATAGCCCAAAGAAAATGACCCTCTTTTCTGTTCTTATTGTAGATTTAAAGATATTGTTACATATAAATTAGTACAAAGCCATACATTCTAAACTTGAAAATCTCATCTCAACCAGGGCCTCTTGGGTCTAAACTTCAGAGTTCATTAATTAGTTCCAAAGTTCTCCTTGGTAGTTAAAAGAGACTTGCAATTGTTTCCCTTCTTTTCCCTGACAATCTTAAAGCACTACTCACACAGCTGCTACAGGCTGTCCTGCCCACTTCACCAGAAGCTCAAAGTTGTATACAAGAGGAGATGGTGATTATAGCTAATGAGGGTGAGATAGGAACACACTTGAATACTGAAAGACTCTAAAAGAGATGTAATTTAATCAGGAGGAGGAACGAGAAAATGTGGCCAGAGTTACATGTTAGTTGAGCAAACATTTATATGTGACTTTTCAAGGCTACAGGAAAATCCCACTATTCCCTCTCCCCACCCCAACCATGCACACACACACACACGTGCACATGAATGCACGCACAGACATTCATATCTCTTCTTCATTACTACCTGGTGTCAGAGTTCCCTGTTACAGCATTGTTTCTTTTAAGAAAAGATTCTATTCCTTGTTTTGTGGTGTGCAAAACTGAAGGTTGTTATGACTGCATATACAGATTAACACTGTAGAGAAAAATCTCAAGTGAATGCTGAAGCCCAGAGCAAAAGTGAGACATAGGAAATGTTGCAGGTCACATGACCATGGCCCTCACAGATGAAACTATGACTTCTTTGCTTGGCTCTCCTCTCTCTAGGTGTGACCAGGGATATCAAGGCACTGAATGCCACCCGGAAGCTGCTCTTCCTTCTACAATTATGTCAGATTTTGAGAACCAGAATGGTTGGGAGTCTGACTGGCAAGAAGTTATTGGGGGAGAAGTTGTAAAGCCAGAACAAGGATGTGGGGTCATCTCTTCTGGATCATCCCTGTATTTCAGCAAGGTATGACTTAGAGCAGAGAAAAATGATGACTAAGTCATGACTAAAGCATGGGAACAATGGTCAGGGTAGTGGCTATTTCAATATGTAACTGATTTATGGAGCAGTCCAAACTCAGAAGGCATAGATATGAGATGGGTTTTCCCCCCCCCACATTTCCCCCCACTTTTATAACTTTATGATTGTTCTTAGTTACTACAAATCTAGATTAGGCCAGTTTTAAAATCCTGTCCCTCTTGTACCTGATTTAAATCTTAATTGCTTTCCTCCAGGGCCAGCCAGTCTTGTGTTTTGGGGGTCTTTGAGTAGGTCAGGGTCTTGGCCGCTTCTCACCCCAGCCTTTGGAGGGTGTGTGAACATGCAGGCCTGTGGGTGAAGGTGTGAGTGATGGTGGAGGTAGTGGAGTTTAGAAGTTATAAACATCAACTCTGAAACCAGACTGCTGCTTTCTAGCTCTGTGACTTTGACCAAATTCTTTAACTTCTCTAGGGCTTGGCTTCCTCGTCTATAAAGTGGAGATAATGAGGGTGTCGGTCTCATTAGGGTTATTCTGCAGGTTAAATGCATTAGTGTAGTTGTAAATCGTGGAGTACAGTGCCTCATGCATAGAAAGCACTTCTGTAAGTGTTTGTTAAATTTGTCCACCCATTAATCTCTAGAATATGATTGGGAGAAGGAGGAGTAATGGTGGGTGTGAGTTGCAGAGCTGTTCCTAGGGAACTGATCAGCTCTTCATGGTGAGCAAACATCTAGGGTCCTATTTTGGCTCAATTTGATGCCTACTGGCGTGGGATTGTCAATTCAGGCTACTATAACAAAAATACTGTGTATAAAAATATCATAAGAAAATAGCATTGGGTGGCTTCAACAGCAAACATTGATTTCTCAAAGTTCCGAAAGCTGGGAAGAAGATGAAAACACCAGCAGATTTGGTGTCTAGGGAGGACCACTTCCTAGTTTGCAGATGCCTTCTTCTCTGGAGAAAGCAGAGAGGAAAAGCAGGCTCCCGTCTGTCTCTCCTATGAGAGCAGAATCCCATCATGAGGGCTCCAGCCTCATAACCTACTTGCCAAGGGCCCTACCTCCTAATACCATCCTTTTGTGAGTTAGGCTTTCGACATGAGTTTGGGGTGCACAGACATGACGTCCATAACAACAGACTCTGCATCGAAGTTACTCTGGCAGGGCTCAGCTTCCCCAGTGGCAGCACAGGTTAGGCAGGCAGGTCAATAGACACCAGCTAGGGACTGAGGTGCCAGCCAGATTCTCTTAGAACAACTCCAACCCATGTTGCTTGTTTAGGGATAGGGGACGGGGATCCAACTCCTTTGCTACAGTCTAGGCAGGGCATTCTTTTCTTCCTTCCTCCTCCAGTTCATCTCTCCATATTGTCTCCAAAAGGACTGGAGGGGAAGCAGTTTCTGTTCTCTAACCTGACAGTGTGTCTAGCCCCAATATAGAATGTGGGGTACTAAACACCAATCCTTTCCGGCAGGCACTGCAGCCACCAATTCTAGGACAATTGGAAATGTCCCACTCGTCATCACGTAACAAGCACACAAGTGTGGATGAAGGGTAGATATGTTGGGGAACTTGGGCAGAAATCCAAAACAAGTTAATGTATGCATATGCAAAAATAGGTATAGGTTTTGTTTTGATGCAGGTGCAGAACAAAGAATCAGCAAGTAAACAAGACAGAAAATTGGGGAGGGATTCCAATTAATGATATTTCCTATCCATTGACATTGAAAGTCCCCGAGACCTTATTGATAATAGTCAATAAGTTACTATATACATTGCATAGATCAGGGGTCCTCAAACTACAGCCCGCGGGCCACATGCAAATACAAATATTGTATTTGTTCCCATTTTGTTTTTTTACTTCAAAATAAGATATGTGCAGTGTGCATAGGAATTTGTTCATAGTGTGTTTTTTTAAACTGTAATCTGGCCCTTCAACGGTCTGAGGGACAGTGAACTGGCCCCCTGTTTAAAAAGTTTGAGGACCCCTGGCATAGATCCAGATACACTATATAATTGTGCAGAAATGGAAAGATTGTGTCTCCCTTAAGTATCAATTTTAAAACAAGATTATCATAGATCCAGATACGCTATATAATTGTGCAGAAATGGAAAGATTATATCTCCCTTAAGTATCAATTTTAAAACAAGATTATGAATTCTTAACCAATATGTACTCAAACACTCCAAATAGCATGTGTGTGTATATACACATATTTTGAGGATATAAAGTTATATATCACTATTTCTTACACTTAATTTAAGATGATACCTGGAATCAAACTACCTAGGTTTGTAACTGGGCTGCAAACCTCAATCATTGTTTCACCTTGCACAGTTATAACATTATTATGTATCTCAATTTTCTCAACTATAAAGTGTGATATTGGGAGGGTTAAGTTAGTTAATGCAAGTAAAGAATAAAGAATAGTATTGGGCACATAGAAATAGCTCAATAAGTGTTAGCTATCATAATTACATCTTATGAGACTAAATTATAAATTGTTATCATTAAATATTTCCCCATATATGCCCTGGCACTACTTAAAAATCAGCATTTCAAAGTAAAATCATTCTCTTCCCAGCTCAATCTAGCTTTCTCCCTCGATTTTTGTGAAAATATTTGAGGATCATTGTTTTCTTTTACTTTTTTCTCTTGTGTCGGTGAGATCTGTTCTGAATTCTAAGTGCGAGAAGCTAGCATAAGAAAAAAGGAGGAAAATTTGTTCATGTAATCAAAACACAAGGAGTGCTTAGGTCGAACTGGCCTCAGAGATATCTGGAACCTGAAACTCGAATGCCCACAGAACTCTCCCCTGGAGAACAGACTATTTTCAGGTCAGCTTGTCATTATGAGATTGGAACCATGGGCACTTTCCCAGCGGCTCTATAGACAATTCTGGGGAAGGTTTCTGATTGGCCAGTCAGAGTGTCCTGGGGAATGGGGTGCTGTGATTGGCACAGCCAGAGTCACGTACTCACTCCTTTGGCAGAGGTAGGATACAGTTTGGCAGCCCCACCAGTCAGTATGATTGAAATAGGGAAGAGGCAGTAACCCAAAGGGACAAAGGGCTCTCTAGACCTTTTAAACCACCCTCGATTGATTTATATAGAAATATGCTTCTATCCTGTTACTGTTTCAGCACAAATATCCAAGATGGTCTCCAGTACTATTGCCCTAATGTATAACTTATTTTTTCTTTATGAACATGAGCCCTCTGCCCCATAAAAGAAGCTCTCCAAATCATCCCAGGTCTCTCCAGTTTCCCTGTCTGCTTAGTCTTCACTGCCTACATTGTGCCTTTGATCGTCTCTGTATCCACATAAACCTTGCAACATCCTGCTCAAATCTGGCTGCTTCCATGGAGCTTTCTGGAACTATGACAAACTACACTGATATCTTCATTTTTTAATTTCACTCTCATCTGTATTCTATCCAGATATAGATTAACTTTTTATTCTCATAGTGCCCAGTAAGGTGCATCCCTGCTGACTGAGCCAATACTAGATAAGATGTGCAACTCAGAAATGCATGCCTTGTGCTAGGCATTTACATATCAATAAATACCCTCAGGACTGCATAGACTGGAGAATTGATACATGATTATGTGACTAAATGGGGTCAACAAGGACTAGAACTTGGTCTGCAGCCCTAAAGTTGTCCTTACTGTCACTGCACATTTCCATGAATTGTCCTTTTGAGTTTGTACAATTGGCACCAAATATTTGTTGAAGAAAGGAATTAGTGAATGAACGAATAAATGAATAAAAAGTGGAAAGCAGCAAAAGGGTCTAAAGAAATGGTTATTTTCAGGTTAATATAGTAGATTTGTTTTTATAGTGGCATTTGATTTTAAAAGGTTTTAATGGGAGTTAAAAGGTGAAGTTTTATGAAGTGTTTTAATAAGTTTTATTTTAAAGGCTCTAAAGCCTGGAGACATTTCCTTGAAAATTTGTTTTATTATATCGAAACCCTTAAAGCAGAAAGCTGTTTTAACCTAGAATGTTGAGGGGAAATGGGAAGATATTTGCCACACTCCAGGGATAAGGAGATCCTTAACCTGTTACTCCAACACACATGCATGCACACATTCCATGTGAGTATATGTCTACACATGCCCACACAACTACCCTGATCGTAGTGTAATAGGGAAACTGAAAAGCACGTGTCACATAATTCTAAATTCTGACACAGAGTTCGCCATGAGTCTTTTTCCTTCCTTTAGAACAGTGTTCAGCATTTCGAGTCACTGAACATAAGAAAGGGGTTTGTGCTATTCTCTAGTAAAAAAAAACATCTTCAGTGCCAAGCCAACCACTTGTATGATATTTTCCACCATTTACAAAAATCCCACAAAACACTCTTGCAAAACCTCTGGAGACCAACACCATAGTCTCCTGGAACAATGACACTGCTAGGTGGATTTCACAATAGTCCAATCATTCCAACCAACTAGTTGGGATAATAGGATTTTTATAATTCACACCTTAGATCTTTCTCCTTCTGGCTTAGTTCCTTTCACATGCCAAGCTTTTCATAGGAGTTTGCTGGATTAGAATTAACCAGCTAGGTTCTGTAGTTTTTCTTCTCAAAATCACTCTTCCTGTAATGATCCTAAAACATGAAAATTCTAGGCCAGATTATAATAATCTCTGAGGTATTTCTCACTTATACTACTTCAACAAGAAAAATCAAAAGCACCTATAACTCATTGACAATACATATTACTTTTAAGATTTCCTCAAATACATATTTAAAATTGAGCATTCCAACTAATAAGTTCGTGTGTCAGGATTAATTTCAATGCTTTTTTCACTGGAACCCCCTTTTGCCGGGGGTGGGGATCTCTTAACTGGCTTTAGATTTTTCAGTAACAATGTACTCCTTTAATTAGCTCCAAATATTTCCCTGTGACTCATAACTGAAACCCTTTCTTAATTAACTTAGTGAATTTGAGTAGTGTTAAAATTATAAGTATGAGGGATGTTTTTCTCTAAATTGAGTACCCTATCTCAGTGTTTCTTCCCAATTTTTAAGTGAACTTCTTAGGAGCTCTCCGAGACCAGTTCAGAGCAGACCGTGGATTCGCTTTAGCAGAATCTGGGTGGAAGAATCTCGTGATCAAGCCTTTTTTTTCAATCTCATTAGCACAAACCTATTTACACACAACAGCAATCATGACAAACCTTGTCAATTTATATCTAACACCTTACAACAGGACTGTGACATGTAGGGAACACACTAAGTAAAGGAAACAAGTTGCTGGATTTGATGGAATTTTTAACATATTTAAGACACAAAGAGGCCATGTGGTGGTAGTAAAAACGTACTTAAATGGCCCCTCCCTATCTCTCTATTTCAAGTGGGAAACAGAGACTGACACATGGACTGGGAGCCTGAGAGATTCAAGTACTCTTTTGTTTTGTAAATCTTCTATCTTGCCCTAACCGGTTTGGCTCAGTGGATAGAACGTCAGCCTGCAGACTCAAGGGTCCCAGGTTCGATTCCGGTCAAGGGCATGTACCTTGGTTTCTCTCCCATCGATATTTCTAACTCTCTATTCCTCTCTCTTCCTCGCTGTAAAAAAATCAATAAAATATATTAAAATTAAAATAAAACTTCTATCTTAAGCCTGTTTCACTTTTATGCCTGGAGGAGGTCCAGGCATACCTCCCGGGAAGACATTCAGTGTGCTAGGCAAGTTTCCTGCAAAATGTTATTTCATCCAATTATCACAAAACCCTATGAGGAAGGTATAGTTGCCATATTGTACCTTTGAGGAAAGTAAACGCTCAGAAAGGTCACACAGCTAATGAACAGCATGAATAATGGGGCTGAGATTCAAACCCAGCTCCAACTGATCTCCAAGTTTCAAATTCTCCTGTACTCTGCCTGGGGGACATTCACAAGACAAACATTGAAAGTGTTTTCATTTAAATTAATTTTTATTTTATTTTTAAAGACTTTTGAATACTCTTTGGTGTAATTAGCAATTCCCAAGGATCTCATAACCAGGTCTAGCAATCAGTGATATAGAGACTCTTCGAATGTATCCAGGAAGAGTTACCAGAACCAAAGCAGAGACAATTAAATGGCGCAACTGCTCCTTTCAACAATAAATGGTGACAAAATCATCTCCATATAGTGCTAGCATGCTCGTATGAATTTAAAACTAAAACAACAAAATGCCTAGGAGCTTCCAGATCATTGAACCTGTGGTGTTTCTGTCCTTTGGCAAGGCTGGGAAAAGACAGCTGGTGAGCTGGGATCTGGATACTTCCTGGGTGGACTTTGTCCAGTTCTACATCCAGATAGGCGGCGAGAGTGCGGCGTGCAACAAGCCCGACAGCAGAGAGGAGGGCGTCCTCCTCCAGTACAGCAACAACGGGGGCATCCAGTGGCACCTGCTGGCAGAGATGTACTTCTCGGACTTCAGTAAACCCAGGTAACCACACCCTGAGGGCCTCCCAGTGGCTTCCAGGAATGTAAAGATTACACTGTTGTCGAGGGTTCCCAAAATGTCGTTAACTTTTGCAAAAATAGATGAAATCATAATTATCTGGTGTGAATGATAGCCTTACACATAAACATTTCATTAAAGTTTCTAGACAGAAAGCATTTGTATTCACATTTGAATTTTTAAAGGATTTGAGAAAAATCTGACCAGCAGAAAAGTGTGACGATTGACCATTTCGCCCCCTCCCCACCGCCCAAGGAAACTCTGTGACATAGGGCTACTCCAAGCATTTCTGGATTTTTTTTTTAATGCACATGCAAAATATGTTCATATTTTAGATCGTAAGCTGTATTTTAGTAGTAAGCTATATTTTAATAGTAAGCTATATTATTTTCAAAAGTCTTCTTATGGTTGCACCCAGGGCAAGTCCTACACAGTTTATGGATAAATCTGTAGAGATTGGATTCTCTCAAATTTGTCACTGGCCCATCCCTGTTTTTATTTTGATAAACGGGGAGGATATATAATAAAATGTCTTAGGTAATGACTGTCAAGGAGTTTGGGAAATGATTCATGTTTAATACTAACACCTGTACCAGGCAATCAGTGTATTTATCTATACATGTAAATTTAGTTCTTTTACAATTTTGTAGTTTTTTGAAATTTTGTATTTGTACTTTATATTTTATATGTATCGCTAAAATCTACTCAAAGATATCACTTTTAGAGTATTCCTTTTTGTAATCTCTGCATTTTTACTTTAACACAAAGACAAAGGTTTTTCTTATATATGTTGACCAATCATTATTGAACTTTAACGTACTAAAGTTGTCCCTGTTTTGCATTTTTATAACTGAACCCCCAGTGGTTTTATTGAAAAAAATTATTACTGAAGAATAGATTTAATTTTTACACATTAAATATATTTTTAAATGTTACTTAAAATATAGCTATTTTGTACAATAGGGGTTCATATGTTTATTTCTTTAAAACATTGAGTAATTTAAATGTGACATAACTTTTCATAATATAACAGAAAGAGACATGCAGACATACTGACCAAAAGCATTTCTACTAAGGACACATGGGAGAGGCAGAAACCAAAGACGAGGCAACTGAGTAAATCAAGAAATACAACATCCAGGCAGGAAGTCAGGAATGGTGGGTGGGAGATGGAACCTAGTCAGGTTCCCCAGTCCAGTAGAGAAAGGATTGTAATGGTGCCAAACTGGTTAAAAAAAATTTTTTTTTAAATCATTCAAATTATTTCTCCAGGAATTTTTTTCTAGGTATTTCTTGAAAAGGTTATGACCATTATTATGGTATTCAAAAGACATTGTTCAGTGAATTGAACACAGTTGAAATATTGCCTCCAAGAGCTACAGTTCCAAATGGAATAAACATGACCAGGACTACACCTGCTTACAACTTTAAAACTCCTGTCGGATCTATTAAACTTAGAAATTTTTCAAAAAATATCAAGAGATCAAACACTTAACTAAACTTTCTTGTATTGCTATTCTTGCTATGTTAACAGCCGCTAAGAAAGACACCGCTTTCCTCTCCTAACCGTAAGTGTCTTGCTATGATGCAGATTTGTCTACCTGGAGCTTCCGACTGCTGCCAAGACCCCTTGCACCAGGTTCCGCTGGTGGCAGCCCGTGTTCTCAGGGGAGGACTATGACCAGTGGGCGGTCGATGACATCATCATTCTGTCAGAAAAGCAAAAGCACGTCATCCCAGTTGTCAATCCAACTTTACCCCAGGTATTTTTTCCATGTCTGAACTCCAAGAAGACAATTATAAAAGTGCATGAGATCAAAGAACTTGGTGCTTGATACCTGAACGTGTAATACAAGTTTTCTGTGTTTGCACTTCCTTTCTTTTACTTGCACTTAAGTTTTGTTACCTCGTTATGCCACTAGTTCCCAGATTATTTAGAAGGAAAAACGAAAACAAACAAAAAACTATGAAGTCTGGCCAAGTCATCAAGCATGATTATTAGTGTGATTATAAAATTAGATACACCGTGGCAAAATATTTTCAGTTTTTAAATAATCAGAAGAAAAAAATCATTGCGGCCAGAAATAAATTAGTGAAGTTAGAGATTCTGCTGTATTTTCTAGAAATACCAATGGTGCATGGCTCTGCTTGTCATGAACTGAAAATTCCTTTCTTGTTCTCAGTTGTCAAATTGCCTTTCTGTGTCGTTTGTATTGTTTGTATTAGAACTTTTATGAGAAGCCAGCTTTTGATTACCCCATGAATCAAATGAGTGTGTGGTTGACGTTGGCTAACGAAGGAATGCTGAAAAATGAAACTTTCTGCTCTGCCACTCCGTCAGCCATGGTATTTGGAAAATCAGATGGGGATCGATTTGCAGTAACTCGAGATTTGACTCTGAAACCTGGATATGTGCTACAGTTCAAGGTACTTATGCACAAACCTCTTCGCAGAGCAGGTCAAGGATCAAACCATCTTCCATATTTATAAGTGAAGTTGACAAAGAACACACATTTTTCATATACTATTAAAGAAGGGACTCAAACAAGCATTCAATAATCTTAAAATGGCAAATCTTTTCAGTTCCGCCCCATAAGAAAACAGCTTATCATTTTTTTCATGAGCCCTAGAAGTTGTAGCTATGTCATTGTATTTCTTTAAGTGCTCATGGACTTCTACTAGAACTAAAAAGAAAATTGACTCTTAGGATTTCAGTCTGATGGTGACTTAATGAATCCCATGCTTCTGAATGGTAATAGATAACTTCTCCCTTTCAACTTACTAGTACTTTTAGGACTCGAGAGTTATTTTATGCTTTTACTATAGCATTTTCAAATACTTTGTCTTCCTTTGGTTCTGTAAACTTTTACTTTATCATTGCCCTCTTAAAAACTTGTTGTTCTTCAGCACTGTGATAACAGGTGTCAACATATATAGCAAGTATTTACTTTGACAAGCTCTTTTCTCAGAAGCCTAATCAAAATTTCATTGTGTTTATGATAAAATCCCATTGGTGAATTCTGGGGTCGAAAGAAATGCAGTTTTAATGAACTAGCACAACTACATGGCCCTTACATAACAGCAGGATGCAGATGCTAAATAATTTACAAATGGAATTATTAAAGAGATCAGATGTTTATAGGCAGCTCTAAAATATAATTTCCAATGGTCTATGAACAAGGAAGTTGATTAGTGAACTGTTATCCTTCTCTGTTTAAATTGTGATGCTAACCTACAATGGAAAAACCATTAATAACTGAATATGACTCTATAGTAATTTGTTGGTACTATCTAAAGTGATCACAAAATAACAGCAATAGCAAATACATTGCCAGCATACTATGCTGTTTCTCATCTGACACTGTTTTTATGTAATGTCATAAAATGAGAATAGTGAAAGTCTTCAAGATAGTATTTTGAAGTTTATAAAATCTAAATAAAGAAAACATTAAATGTTTCAAGTATTTAAACAACCAATAAGAATGCATCATGCCTAAGAAAAAAGCTCAATTCTCATATCACACCAGAAGAAGACTATTGATTTGTGGCTGTTGGTTAATAATAGATATGTAATATGGGTCATTCAGGGATTGACAACTAACATATATTTGGCATCTGCAAGAAAAACTTTGTGTCATTTGTACAGAAATGCACAGTGCTGGTACTAGGTGCTAGAAATATGGAGGTTAAAAATATGGCCCTAGCCCTCAAGGACCTCAAAAACTAGTAAGTGAACCAGAAAAGTGAGCATTCCAAGGATTATTGTAGTAGAAACAGGCTCTCATCTATGGGAGTACCTAGCATAGCGCATGTGGCCAGTGCTCCAAAAATGTTAGTTGAATAAATGTGTGGGTGGATGGGTGGGTGGATGGATTGAAATTGAAAATGTCTGGAAATACAGAGACTTAGATGAACAATGGAGGGGGAGGAATTCCATTAGAGGGAACAGAATGTGCAAATATATGAAAATAATGAAAGTGCTAATGAAACTGGAAGATTTGGAAACTTTTTTAGAGTCCGGAAAATGTACCATAGAGGTAATAAAGTTGATCCTAATTGGCTTTACATGATACACTAAGTCACTTGTAAAGCCAAACAGATCAAGATTTGGCCATGAGGGGGGAAGCACCCGTCAGGTTATAGAAAAGTAGGGGAAACCCTCCCCCCCAATCCCAGAGCCATACAACTCAGTCACTGACATCCCCTGGGTCTGCTCCAACCTCTACAGCCTGGCCAAGGCAGATGACTCCTGAGCAGGGTGTAAGCTCTGCAGTGTGGGGTGAGAGGGAGTCCAGAAAGTGGGAGCTATTGCATTCCCTCAGGCTGGTGCCATCAAGAGATGAATGCTAAACCCAAGAAAGATGGTGTCTGTGGTGTGGGAGAATGACTCAGCTCAGGGATTTTTGAAGCTGTCTCTTCAGCTGTCTCACCAGAGCCACAAACCTCAGACTATTCTCACTCGACTCTATTCTGGTCCACCTTCCCTCGCCAGAGCCCAGGGTGAGTGGCTGCGAATGAAATGTTGTGTGTTGGCTCTTTAAGAGGGCACTTATGTTTCTAGTGGACTCCTGTCTCATCCTGATGGACAGAATTCCGGCTGACTTTCACAGCTGGATGTTATGTGAGCACCTACCTCTTCCTGGCTCTGGTGCTCTGGGCTGGGGAGCCTAGCAGGGGGTTGAGATCCCACAGGGTGAACCTTTGCAGCTGAGATATCCCTCGGGACCTCAGCCGCAGCCTTTTTTCACATCACACTTCCAAGAGTCCCTATGTGGGTTATTCTGTAAATCCTTCTCTTCAGCTAGTCTTCTGTTGGTTAGTCAGGATGATTGTTCTATAATTTAGTTGTGATTTCAGTTTGGTCTTGGGAGGAGGTGAGTGTACCTTTCACTTACTCTACCACCATCTTAAGGAGATTATTGGAATCTTCTTTTGAAAGACGGGATCCAGCTACTGCATAGTCGCAGTGATGAGCTGGTTGACCTCTCGAGCTCTGGCCCAATATTATTTGTCTATGCCCTACCTTTCCTTCATCCTTTATTCTTTGGTTATTATTGTGGTATTTTAAGTCCCTACTTAAATGTTTTCTATAACATTTGACTAATCTTATTTGTAGTCATACAGTGAAATTCTATGGTGGCTCCCAGCAACAAATGAAATAAGACATGAATAGACCATTCATTTAAGATAGCATGTAATTAAATAAATATCAGTGTTTGACATTTATGATTATCAAAAATATGAACTAAAACTAATTAAAATAACTTATATACTTTTTGAATTGGAAATAAAGTACCTTAAGCTAGAATAATATTCAGAGTTGTGGTAAATTGACTCATTTGAAACCAATTGATTAAAAATGAACACATATAGCCCGGCCAGCATGGCTCAGTAGTTGAGCATCGACCTATGAAACAGGAGGTCACGGTTCCATTCCCGGTCAGGGCACATGCCCAGGTGGCAGGCTTGATCCCCAGTGTGGCAGCCAAAAGGAGGCAGCCAATCTTCCTGGCTCTGGCGCTCTGGGCTGGGGAGCCCAGCAGGGGGTTGAGACCCCACAGGGTGAACCTTTGCAGCTGAGATATCCCTCGGGACCTCAGCCGCAGCCTTTTTTCACATCTCCACATTTCCAAGAATCCCTATGTGGGTTATTCTGTAAATCCGTGGTTATAACACTTCTCTTCAGCTACTCTTCTGTTGGTTAGTCAGGATGATTGTTCTATAATTTAGTTGTGATTTCAGTTTGGTCTTGGGAGGAGGTGAGTGTACCTTTCACTTACTCTACCACCATCTTAAGGAGATTATTGGAATCTTCTTTTGAAAGACGGGATCCAGCTACTGCATAGTCGCAGTGATGAGCTGGTTGG